TTTACCGCTTGTTTTCGTTTGATTGTTACGCCTCACCCTGTTTTAGAGTCGTGCAAGCGGCAGAATATTGCGTTTTGGGTTCAATGACCATCATGGAATGATGTCCTGAAGAGAACTAATTAAACATGTATAATTGTGTACATGTACGATCATGTATGTGATGCTAAAACTAGGCAAACTATGCGTTTTATTAAACGCCTTGGCAAAAAGTCAAATGTTGAATTTTCATCGGTGTGACACTGATGTACCTCTCGCTAATTCATAGTGCTGATCTGCCGTGCTAAGGAAAATCGCCATATGAACCGTCAGGCGTTGCCAAATTTCCTTTGATAAAACACAAATTTCCTGATAAACTTTTGAATATTTTTCTTCCAATTTTTCAGATAATGTTGTTTGCAATTTCACCTGAAGTTCCTTAAAATTTCGAGGAGAAATATTCATAGCTTTCCTGAAAAACAATCATTTTATCGAAGGGAATTTGGCAACTCTTGAATGTTCATACGGCGTTCTTCCTCAGCACGGCAGTAATGTTCTAATCCATATTTTTAAAACTGATCGACAAAACTTCTAATGGAACCCTCTCAGAGCCGATCCCTAATGTTTCTCAGTAGTAATTCTTTTATGAACGGCTCTTCATCATACTTGCTCAAAGAAAAAAAAGCTTTGCCAAGTAATCAAGACTGCCGATGTTGCCAGATAGATTACTTTTTAGCCAAAGGAAAGAATTTAATCAAGCTGAACCGGTACAAAGAAGCTTAAAATAACGGAGGTATTATTCCTCCAAATGTCATTATCAAAATCCCACCGAGGGCATTGATGAATCGAGCACCGAAAAATCTATCGAAAAATCGACTCGATACGAAGTTATTTTTATCTACACGGTTACAAAGTGAATGGCCCTTTTAGTTTTTGTGTCTTTTTGAAGATTCAGCAAACGTATTTTTTCCAGGATTCGGCCATAATGTTCATTCGCTGCTACCATCAATTCCGAAAAAACACTTAATGGGACAAGGCCGTAATTCCGTCTAAAATGATCTATCGAACCCATATTTAAAGTGTGTGCACTCATGAGTTAATAACTGTCATGTAAAAAGGACGCTATGTACATCGCGAAGGAAATCTCGCGCCCGAACCAATGATTTGTCATCGGAAAGAAATTAAAGTTAGGAAATAAGAAACTATCCACGATAATGCACAATTAAATAAAAAAAAACCCGTAAATAGGCCCGCGACTGAATAAAAACTGAAAACATGAGCAACACCAAAATTTCATAAGGAACTGAAAAGGCAGGACGTGTCGCGTTGTCGAGTCGTAGCAAGCTTATTTTTAGCTGCAAACACATTAAAAATTAAACCTGATTTCAGTCCTTGTCACCGGTTGGTTCAGTGGTTGCGTGAAATCAACCAGGATCAGGTTGCTACTCATTTTTTTTTATCAATTTTCATCGTTTTTTGCAGCTAAAAATAAACCCGTGGCAGCTCAAAACGTCCTGCCTTTTTAGCGTTTCTCGAGCTTTTAGCGTGATTTACCGATATTTTCATTTATCATTCTGTCGGAGAACTATGAACCTAACACTTTTTAAGCTAAATTAATCTTGTCTCCTGTTTTTGTGTTTCAATTTTGTTCCAATTGTTTCGTTTTGTTATAAAAATAATTCAAAGTCCCCGCAGGTCCCATCATCAATCTTTCTCGTTTGTTTTTATAGCCCAAGCTTCAAACCTTTATTAGATTCCAATGACAGTCTCATGAACAAACTTCCCTAAATCAATTTCTAGTAATGAACTATGAATCAAGACTTCATCGCAAGGCGTCCGCATGGCGGTAGCCAAGTGTCCGCTCGGGCTAAAGAACTGGTTCAATCTTTGGTCCGTTGCAGAAATGCAGTAGCGTGCGCCAGAGCACCCATTCGGTTGAGCCAAGCAGTGGCATGGCGTGCTTTGCGATATATCGATCGATCTCTCATTTACAGCTTCGGAAAAGGATCGATAAACCGGGTGCTCGCATCGAACACCTTAAAAATCGATCCTTTACCATACCTTCAAATGCGGAAATATCGATAATCGATCATTCACACCTCGCCACTGGAGCCAGGGCACTTGTATCCATAATGATATACCTAAGGTACAAGTACCTGGCACGAGTGTTGACGTGTTTTCAGAGGAGGAGCAAATAATACAGACTTCTTTTCAGTCAAACCAGGTCGAAAATTATAGTCGCTCTGGGGAATTAGAGCTGCTCTGGGCCCACATTAATACCCTTCGCGTTCTCGTAACTTACATCTTCTCATGCATGCACCTTAGCAACTCTACCGTGCTAAGGAAAAACGCTGTATGAGCCTTCAGGCGTTGCCGAATTTCCTTTGACAAATTACTAATTTTCAGGAAAATTAGTGAATTCTTTTCTTCCAATTTCTCGGGTAATTTGGCTTGCAATTTGATCTTAAAAGTCTGCAAATTTCAAGGGAAAATATTGATAATTTTCCTCAAAAATAAAAATTTTATCGGAAGAAATTTGGCAACTCTCGAATGTTCATACGGCGTTTTTCCTTAGCATGGAACTTGTCGTTTGCTCGAACAGCAAGACATCAACACAAAGAAAAACTACTGTCCTATTTTCTGTCGTATTACAGCTGGTATATAAGAATGTTTTGAGGTTATTCCTCCCAGGTAGTAAACAAACATCGACATTCGACATATCGAACAAAGTTCGTTAAAATACTAGTTGGCTTTTCCTTCTTTTTAAAAGCAGAGATGCAAAGGTGTAAAAGCACACTTCTGCAGTCTTTTGGTGAGAAATCTCTTCCAAAAATCCTAAATTAAAGCCAAATGAGACTTTAGCAAAAATTCTAGTTAGATTCGACTAATCGAATACGATCGCATTTAGTCTCATTTGGCTTTAATTTAATGTTTTCGGAAGAGATTTCTCATCATTAGACTGTAGAAGTATGCTTCTTTACTGTTGCATCTCTGTTTTTACAAAGCGTGAAAAGCAACACTCGTATTTTAGCAACATTTTTTTGATATATCGATGTTAGTTAGTTTACCTTCTGGGAGGAATAGCCCAAAATTACTTTTCTGAGAGAGGAAAGGGGTTTTCATCGTGAAGTTAAGATTAAAGGGCTTAGAAAGAGTTTCAGCAAATAAGAATTTAACGATATCACGAAATTATCAATATCAATTTCAATATCAGTTGGCATGGCATGTTGTCAAAGAAAAATGTCGCGCTTGAGAGAAATTTTGGCGAAGCATTCACATCTTTTAGCGTTTAATTGTCTCAGTAGTGCGGACAAATTATTGATAGCTTTTAAGTATCATGAAAGTCATGACAGCCCCGTTTATTTGTTTAAATTGACGGGTGAGGTGAAGTTTTTCCAATTCTGAATCATGAAACAACCCCCAGTCAAAACATTTAAAGGCTTACAAAAATGGTGGTTTTTTGCTGGCTCTGTAACGCTTTTTTCAGCTATTCTCAGCAAACTACAACTCAGAATGCAAGCAAGCCCTAGTTTGTACTGCCAAAGACGATGATTAAAGAAAGAAAAGATTACTCTTTCCTCTAAAGAAAGTGTTCTTTTAGAATGTCAACTGCGTGCCCGCACACGTGTGCTGAGCCTTTGAAACTTTCCGCGTTCCCAGGTTTATCTTTACGAATTCCATAAGTTTCCAAACAAAAATTGTAGCTGCAAGAGTCAGCGGGTTTTAAACTTATCGCGGTGGGTATAGTAGACTTTTAAAATCGTGTGATTTACTGTGGTGCTATGTCAACTGCGCATGAAAAATGAATAAATGCGTCATTTATCGGACAGGAAAATCTAAAGTTATGCCACAATTTGCAAATTTGCTACTTTTACTATGACTGGTTTAATGACCGAACAAAATAAGTAGTAGAAGCAGTATTTGCGAGGTTACAAAATTTACTTTTTTACCTTAACACTTACCCTTTTTATAACAAGCTTATTATCTTACAAAGATTAATTTTTATTTGGCTCAAAGATTTGATTATCCACCACGTGGTTTGTCACGTATTTGTTGTCATTGTGAACTTTTATAAATCATGCTTTCATTTCTAAGGATTTTCATGAGCACGTGCCTAAATGTAATTTTTATCCATACAATCTATATCAAAGTTGCTTGGTAATTTTAGTCATGATTTACCGGAACTGGACATCAATTTTTCGTTTTCACATGCTTTTATCGATGAGTGGTTGTATAAGAGCTTTTAATCGTGAAAAGTCACGCATACTTTTTAGAGATCTTGAAAGTCGGCTATAATTTGGTTTAATTTACTGGTATTGCTTTTTGTTTGAAGTGTATTTTTGAAATCTTACTCATTTTTAAAATTATTTTTTCGTTAATATGAAAACAAATCTCTACTCATTGGGAATGTTTTGCTGAAGAAAAGAGTTGATACTTCTAAAAAACTTTTAAAGTTAGATTACATATAGTTTGGATTTGTTTCCATTTTGGAATTATTTTCAAAAAAGACACCCGGTTGAAAGTAAAGTTGTTTTTAGACTATCATTTTCCCCCCTATTATATTAGAATTAAATCACTAATTGTAAGCATGTAAAACGCGCAGACACTCAAACAAAGTGCATAACAATCCTTTCGAAAACTTTTTCGTCTTATGAAAAGACGCACAACACTAAAAAGTATCCAAGGTTGATGACAACACCACAGTAAATATCACCGATTCAAAACTCCGTCCCATCCTACGAGATATTCATCTTTTAATCGCCTTTAATTTTTCACCAAAACTTTGAGAAATTTTTATCAAACACCCGAGGCAATCGAAACACTGATCAAAATTCTATCGACCGGAAGAACTCGGTCTTTGGAAAACTATAGTCACTTCCGAAAACGCACGAACGATCGACGCACTGATAATCCATTAGCGATAAACCTGGTCACTTGCACACGGCAGGAAAAGCTAGGGCTGACAGGGAAAACCGGAGAGAGGTGATGGGAAAACTACGGTGAAAAGATGCTGAGCTACTCACATTGTACGACATGGTTGTTGTTATCCGAGCACTAAGGTGGAAATAATAGCGAGGTTCGACGCGGCGCGTTTATATACGATATGTTATATTACTTAATTTGCTTGCTCGTAAAAGTTGCTCTGATACATTTCCATAAGTAATCCCCGTCGGTCGCTGTGGGGGAGGGAGAAGGGGTCAGCTTTGGTGACGTCACTCCGGCCGCCTCGTCTATTCGGACCTCGGCCCCTTGGGTCCGGCGATTGACAAATTTTGTGTCTCGTGTGACGGGGTTTTTTTCCCCTCCTTTCGCGTCTTTTTTTGCCTCCGCGCCTCCTTTTTTGACGGCCCGCCTGATGTTTCCCCGTCTTTTTTGCGGCGGTTTTTTTGATGTATTAATATTATCCTATTTTATTTATTTGTTCCTTTTTTTGACGGTTTGAAACTTTTTTTTCGTGACCCGACGCGGCGGTGCATCGTAATTGACCGCGTGGAAGCCCTGAATTTGGGACAGTTTATTTGTTGACCCAAGGCGGACAAGGTGTTCGTTTAATGCTTTTCTGCGAATTCCGCGGTAAACGGATCGATTAGTCAACTTTGACCAAGTTTTACAATTTTAAAATTGCATCTTGTTTTCTCGGCGTTTTATGGATTGGCTCTTTTTTTACACCTTTTCGCCCTCTGGTTTAGCCCACTTTTTTAGTCTATCGCCAATTGTATTGATTTCTTTTTAATTTACGGTTATTGGTTTTATCAGTAACTTATGGTCATAAATTACTGACCATGGTCTGAAATGACCATGTGATTTTTTTATAAAGTGTTTTAACATATTTTTTGTCTAATGGTCTTCACTCTTTACACGATAATAGAAGAACGCGCCGCCAATATGCAATTTTGAAGTGTCCTTCAGATGCATTTTTAATTTGTTTTCTTCTTCTTACACTGTTTTTTTTGTCTCCTTTTTGAATAATTTACAATGACACAAAGTCACCATAAATCTGAACTCAGAGGTCAAAGATGAAAAGGTCCTTATGTCGATAGTACGTCAAAGGCATGATATAAACGTCTCATTTATAATTGATTTGAAGATTGCCATAAATTATATTAACTTAAATATTGCCGGGTACGATTTACGATCTGGTTCCTACGTAAAGTCGACGTTGGACCTTTTTAATACAAAGTTTTTTAACGGTTTGAACCAAAGCTTTTCAATTTGACGAAGCTAGTTTTTGTGTACCCATGGAGTCCTTCTTTGAATACCTATACGATTTTCTTAAAATGAACCAATTTTCTTGGTTTCTGTAAAAAAAATAATTCCCCCCGTGTCTACCTTCCATTTTTTCGTCCTCTAAAAAACAAAAAAACAAAAAAACGAACGAACAAACAAACAAACAAAAACCAAACAGACAAACAAAACCTGTTCTTCCTTTAGTTTTCAATATTTTGGGGACGAAACTTATTCTCTTAATAGTGCATCAAAGCGTACATGGCTCCATATTAAGTTTTCTTTTTTAATATTTTTGGATGTCATACGTCTCACTCGAGTACCAGCAATAATTGTGTACGATGATCGCCGTTCATTAAGAGCAAAGATCGGAACGGTCAGCTGTTTTGCTGTACAGCTACGGTTTTATTCGGAACTGTGAATCGGGTATGTGATCATTATTTCACTTAACAAACTCAAATGGTACTTATACACCAGGAAAGTTCATAGTTTGCATATCTTACTGTGTCAAAATCAGCAAATCGACTAATATACTATTAAAAAAAAACTCCATTGTGTCCGAAAACACTTTTCCGCTGCTACTCTATTCATTGGCGCACCTAGGTCATTTTTCTGGGGGGCTGGCCACCCCACCATCGGGGGATCTGGGGGGTATGAAATGGCTTCCAGCTCAGAGGGGGGTCCGGGGGGGCCTCCCCCGGAAAATTTATGAAATTTTAACTCTATTTGAGTGCATAACTCGAGGCAAGCGTGGCGCTAATCTTCCTTCAATTTTTGCACAAAAATGACCCAGTTTTATTCAACAGGTTTTTCTGTTTATTTCCTCACCAATAACCACTCTTTTGTGTGAAAATTGCGAAAACATGTTTTAAAAAATGGCAGAATCTTTGTTTTTTGCTAGGAAAAGCCCAGGCAAAGTAAAATGTAATGTAATGAGCAAGACGTAACTATGAATGATTAGATTAAACATTTTTCATATACTAAAAAAAAGAGGTATGAATTTGCAAAAATCCATTGCATCCAGATTTTTTACAGCAATTCGATTGAATAATGAACAGAGAAGAAAAAACTAACCGTTCGAGCGCGGGATTTTAAGTAACAACTATGTCCATTAAAGAAGGTGTTTTTGCACCATTCAGAATTTCTGAGGGGGCAGATGATACTGTTTCCAATTCTGGGGGGCAGGGCCCCCCCCCCTGGCCGCCCCCCTTCGTACGCTTCTGACACTATTGCTTTCAAGAAGAAATCAAGCTGGGTAATAAGCCGCCACAAAGTTTAATTCGAACCCCCCGCTTTATTTGATGATTTTTGATGGAATATTGTCACCTTGCGTTGATAATTCATGTTTAATTTTTGAAAGAAAAATCGGCGCCACGAGCCCATTCTAGCGTTACGTGAATGCTCTCCTCCTCCTGTAACGCAACCGTAACGTAGACTCAGACCCATTTCCCTCTCTAGAGCATTACTCATTTAATGAGCGGCCTTAGATCATACACGGATTGGCCTGCAAAATATCCTCAACAAAAAATAGTTACTACTCCTGCATCAATGTACAATTACAAAGGCATCAATGTGCGATCTTGCCAACCACTTTCTCTAGTCTCACCATTCATTTCTATCCTTATTTATTTACTAGACTGCTGTTTGGATCGTTGATTATTGATAGTTCCTGAAGAAGATCAGGAAATAATTGTGAATATTGTACCAACAAATTGGTAAAATGTTAAAATCATTATTTTTAATACATTGACGCTATCTGACTTTCAAAATGTCTTATCTTCTCAAGTATGCATGGTAATGGTCCATCTGATTTTTTTCTTCCTTGTCTGTTCTTCTCTTGTACCTTTACGATTATACAACGGGTCGCATAACTTTCTTGTCCAAATCATTGAGGTCGGCATTTGCATAATCTAGTTTTTTCAGTGTTTGATGACACTTTTTTCGGCGAACTTTTAAATGTCACGTCGATCGAAGACATTGCACGTTGACAAGAGTTTGAGTCAGAATTGTTTTTTTTTTCTTCCCTCGTCGAGTAATGCGGTCAAAGTTGAGGTGAATGGGGTGATGGATTTGAAATTCCTTGCAAGCAAAGTCAAGTGTTATTACTTCGACCAGAGAACAGGTGCTAATCCAGGTTCCAACCCGATCTACCGATTGAATGTTTCTGTCCAACTTTTCTACAGGGTCAGATAAAGACAAGTTGATATCATAAAATCAGTACATCACAGAAAAGGGGAAAAAGGAAGAAGAGGACAGAGAGAAGAATTGATCATTTTTTACTATTAAGAAATACAATGTCTAGCTCATTATAGATACAGCGTAGATGCAATAAGTTTCACTGTGTAGGTAGGTGTTTTTATGTATGGGCCAGATATTGTAATTCCGCATTTCAAAATGCAGCCAAAAGAAGATCATAGAAAAGGAGCGACCACACTCTGGCTCTTAAAGCTTTCCGGCTATCGAATTTAAGTCCATAAACTCTACTGTATCTAGCCGTAATTCGGTTTTTGTGAAATTTTCAAATCCGCAGTTAAAAACTAATCTTTCTTTTGACCACCATGTGCAAAGAATGAAAAAGAAAGAAAGGAAAGAAAAAAGGAGGGGACTCCGAGCAGTATATGACGGAATTGAACCTCTACATATCGCACTTTGAGTGGTATTTTTCTCTATCAATCTTTTAAATATTCCTTTTTTTTTTGCTAAAAACGTTATTTTTCACGTTGTTCATTTTGTAGAGGCATTTTAACAAAACATAGGCGACTCGTATATGCGTACATAATATTTAATTGAACTATGTAATATGAGGTCAGAATGTGCATCCACACAATCCAAATATTTTCTTTGTGACTTTTTCCACAAGTTCATTTGTCACGTTGGAGCGGTCCGGAGCCATAGCTCCAAAATTTATCCTGTCTACTGCCCAGCATTTTGTGATGCGAGGAGTACGCAATAGTCTTCGCTCTAGAATAATTTGTGAGACCCACCTCGCCGTGTTGTAAGTAGAGACCCCTCTGTGTATCATTACAAAAGGTAGCACTTTTGACAAGTATTTTGCAAGTATACGCTTTAAATCTTTTCATCGCTTGGGAATATACGCGCTTAGACTGGAAGGATGAGTCCTCGCTGTCAGATTTTCGGTAAAAGTATCTGGGACATTCATAAATGGTCACAGTTTCAATTTGAGACATGATGGAAACTTTTTTTTTTGTGCCAAAAATGCTGATAAATTTTTGCGAAATTTGAATTTTTCTCACTGCATACCCGTTCTGTTTGGTCGAGGAAATTCTTGTGTTGACAGTTTTCCTCCACATTGAATTAGAAATCACCTCTCGGCCAAAAATTGGATGATGGAAAATGATTTCATTGGTTTGTACCGACCCATTGGTTACTTTCGTTCGATTGGTTTGATAGTTCGAACAAACCAGAAAGAAGAAAATGTAAACATTTTTCGATCTGAAATTAGACATGTGGATTCAGATAGTGCGGCACTCTATCCCTTCATAGGTATATTCAATCGTTTACGCGGCATCTCTGTTTTTTTATCTATTTCTCATTCACTGAAAAAAAAGTTACGGGCTATATAGACATACCGTCCGTTCCGGGCCGAAAGTTCCGGGTGTTGAAGCCGTAGTTTCGTCTGCTCTGGGTGCTACGCCCGGAACTTTCACTGGAAAAAAACACATTGGATCTAGAGTCCAGACTCTTAAAAACATCGACAAGAAAAAGTACTCTTAATTCAATCAGAATCTAGCTTAAACCAAGAACCAAGCCTCTTAATTTAAGCGGATTTCCTTTTGATTCAAGCAAAAATCCGATTGAATCAAGAGTGTGTTTTCTTGTAAATGTTTTCAAGAGTCTGGACTCTAGATCCAATGTGT